CAGCGGCGATTTGCTGCTAATTTTCATGGTTTTGGGGCCGTGCACTGGGGCCGTGCACTGAGCGTGCACTGGGCGTGCACTGAGCGTGCACTGTGATTTCTGGGCCAAGGATTTAAGCGCGGGCGGTTTATTAGTTCAGACTGCTTACGGGCCTACAGCCAACACGCACACGGTTGCAAAAACTAAGCCCGCGCGATTCCACGGCAGCAATCGTACACAGTTGCATATCGGTGTGTGTTTGGCAATTATGCTTGCGCATGTTGTTTTGATTGACAGATGCAGACACATGGCTTTTGCCAGACGGTTGATGGACGAAATCCTGCATCGATAAAGCAACACATGAGGTCCTCCAATAGTAACGACCCCCGTGCCCCCCAACTCAATGTTGTCTCAATGTTTGCTTTGTGTGATGCAGGATTTTGGTCATTAAACTTTTTTCTGTTTCAGGCAATTCCTCAACTCAATGTTAAAGAGGGAGCGCGAGGGTATACATGAGTGTGTTCGTCTACTGGTGCAGGATTTTGCCCATCAACAGTACCACTGGACTCGACTACAATAAAGGAGCAAGAGACCGAGAAGTTGGAATGAGAATCGGAAGGAGAAGAGGATCAAAGAAGAAGACCACCAGACCACCAAGCCAGTGGAGCAAGGGACCAAAACAGGAGACCGGCAAACCTGGAGACCAAGGGACCAGGCGGACTAGGGCACTAGGGGACCAGTAACCAGCAGACGAGGGGATTTATTTGTTTGAGCCCGCTCCTTTTTGTTTTTGATACTCCTTGCTTTGGTGACTCACTCACCTCAATAACATGTCAATGTGAACAGGACTGCGGCCAACACCCTTTCAAGGTCCAAATCATACAGAATAATGTTACGTAGTGTGTTTCAAGTTTCAAGTCATTGCTATATCGAACATTATGCTATATTTCCTGCCATCAGGACTATTTCCATGACGCCTCTGGGATTGGTCCAGTCAAATCAGTGGCTTTCGCCTTGCACGGGAACACGAGAACTTGCACAGCATACATTAGGTTCCTGGTTTCAAGCAAAGAAAACTTCTGCAGTGACCCAAGCAAACGACAAATTCGGCATGCCTCCTGCTTGCTTGCCCTCTGTGCCTTTTTGACACCGTTGACCTTGGTCTCACCAGCAGCCAAGAAGAATGATTGCGTGCTTGCACTATCAACTAGACATAACTAGACTAGACCAGCAGGATGACAATAGACTTGTAGGTGTTTGTGTATCATATCACATGCATGATCAGTGACAACTTGGTGTGCTGCACTTTTCTGCGTGAAACTTCGAGAGTTAAGCGCTTTGCGCATGTTTCGGGGGTGAAGCAGAGATTCGGCTCTGCAAGGTGAGACTAGTATGCATACACAGAAAAAGGGCCTCGGCAGGCTCGCCAGCCTCAGCCCCAGGCCTGCTTTCAGTTGGAGCAGGCAATCCAAAGCGTTCATTGTGTTTAATCTTAAATGTGCTCCAATCCTTCAATCAATCGTTCAACGACATTCCATTTCTGTGGGATCAGGCTGCTGTCATTGGACGCCCCAAGGGCTCCAAATCCCAGGACTTCATAGCTGAGACACAGGATGACTGTGGTCTCAAAGCTTTGGATCTGGGAATGTAGTCTGTGTGCTCTCGAATTCTTGGAGTCATTTGCTTGGGAACTTGAGCACAGTCTCCGGACCAAAGCTGCAACAAAGGAGAAGTCTTCATTCTTTTTGGATCACATTTTGGGTTCAGCTGCGGAAGAATGGAGAGATTGCCTTTGCAAAAGTATGAGCGCAATACTTTATTTGTTTGCATCAAGACTGCATGAGAGAACCCGGCCAAGCGAAGCTCGGCCAAGCTGAAGCCAGCTGCTCGAAGCTCGTTTGCACCCATTCCGGCCTGCATCCACAATGTCTGGGGTTCAATTTAACAACATAACAATTGAGAATGTGAAGGTGGCTCTGTGGCTCTCTAATGAAACGGTTGAACACTGCAACTCCCGGAAAATCTGAGTTTTGTGGTAGAGAAGGGGAGAAATGGCACTTCCAGAAATCTATAGTACCGTAGAAGAAGACTTTGTATAAGCTCTTGAAGAGTGGCATAGGAGCCCATCCCCCATCCATCCCCATCCCACCTTCCGCAAGTCCACTGCTGAAAATCCACATCTTCGCATCTCAAGTGCAGAAACATCAGCTGTAAGGATTTCTCGGACGGGAATTCCTGCTTGTTTCATGTGGGCAATTTGAAATCCGGATCGTTGAAGCTCTTTAGCACTAAAATCTTCCTCCTCCCATAGTTTTCGACAGTCGTCCGTTTCTGGGGAAATGAACCGCATCGGCTTGGAGCATTTCAAGCGTAGCATCATGACGCAAAACTCTTCGAAGTCAATCTCTCCACTGCCATCGCAATCAAAGTCTCGAAGCAAACCCCGCAATTGCTTTGTTTTCATGGCAAAACCTAATCTCCTGAACAGGTGGTCAAGTTCATTCACTGCCATGTAACCTGTGCCAAAGGTCGCATCATCGAATAAAGTTTTCAGTTCCTCCACTTCATCCTTGTCCAGGAACTCCCGGTAGTTGATCCGTTTACGATGCTTGTTGATAATGGCCCAGGCAGCAGCGAAACTGGAAAAGTCCAGCTCTCCGGATTTGCTCACCTCCCCAATGATCTCATCAACCTCATCCTCTGTTCCTTTGCAGCCTTGTGCATCCAAAAGGCCTTTCATGTCAAAAACAGAAACCCGCCCGTGGCATTCAGGATCGAGTCTGTCGAACATGTCTTCCAGCTTCTGGATGGTCTTTGGACTCAAATAGTCTATGTAATCGATAAGGTCTGCTCTCGGCCGCAAACGGGCCATCTTGATCTCTAGAATGCAGAGTTCCTCAAACTCTATTTCTCCACTTCCGTCTGCGTCAACCTCCCGCATCACTTCACGAATCTGTGATCGAGTCAAATTCTTGCCAAGTTTCTTGAACATACCATACAATTCATCCGCACCAATGCGTCCATCTCCGGAACTGTCAAAGCTTTCAAAGGTCTCTTTGAGATCCTGAATCTTCTCTCCGGTGAAGTATTCTTTGTATTCAGTATCTGCTACTGGCATGGCGGCGTGTCGCTGGCCAAGGCTAACATTGAGCCGAGTAGCTGCTGGACAGAGATCAACTCTTGATCAAGGCATGCAAAGGGATTGACCAAGAGCGAGCTGAAGTGACGTCAAGCGCAAAAGGAACAACTCCACACTCCACGCTGGAGGGATAGCTGAAGTTCATGGTCCATGTTGTCTGCAACACAATGCAACACATGTGTAGCTATACTCATACCATCTCATACCTGATTGCATAAACGACATTTTATTCCGCATTTTCCAAGCCAAGACCCCAGCAAGGTCTTGCACATTCTCTCGCTCCTGAAAAGCCATTGGAGTCATATCGTTGCTTCATCTACGTATCTACTTGTTTCAACACAACTTTACTGAGCTTTGTGCCAGTTGTTCATTTAGAAGGACAACATGCCGGGAGGTGACTTAAATCCAAATTATTCGTGACATGAACCAAGAAAAGCTGTGACAACACAATGCAAGTCTTAGTCTTAGAGGTATCGTTTTTAGGACGTCCCCGACGTCCCCTATCGTTTTTCGAGGAACACATATCACATTATTTAAAAAGAAGAACCTGTCACTAGCTGCGTGCAACACCCCAGTTAAAACTACATTAGGATAGTTTTGTCTCTGACTCATGTCTACAAGGGTTGTGCTGCATGGTCAATGTTTTATGCTGGCACCTTCAAGGAACACTAAACACTGTCATGGAAGTTGGACATCCAAAACCAGCTTCTTCGCCTGTCTACGCTGTGAAGCTGCAGCCGTTTGCTGCTGCCTCTTCTGCGCCCTGAATCTTTCAGATTTAAGTTGTTTCAATAATGCAATCTTCTTCATCAATTTCTTACGCTTGTTGCCTAAACAAACAAAGTCTCAACAAACATCCAGGGAAGCGGCTTTGTAGGGAAGACCGTGCCTACGACTACGAACGTCATTGACGGGCTCTTCTTCCCTCGCATCCGCATCTTCACCATCTTCGCCATCTGTACCATCACCACCTCGATCTTCCTGCAGAAAGTCTTCACCATCTTGCCAAGCCAAATGAAGCAAGGCACTTGATTTCTGGATCAGATTGATTGCAACGCTGTGATTGTCTTGGGTCTTGGATGTCATCGCAACGCGTTCAAACAAAGCGTGCTACGAGCAAGTGCTGTTAGGCACATCAAGCCCTTGATCAAAGGGATTCCACAAAGGCATGTAACTTATCACAGAAGTTACATTAATTCTTATATACAGTAATCAAACCACGGGCACAGCATAACTCACATCCGTTCCCAGAATACTAAACTCTTTCCCAATGCATGATTTCCCTTGCTCAGAAGCATGTTCAATCATCACCAGAAAGCATTTCAGGCATCAACACACCATGGGCACACTAGCATCACATGACAAGCCAGTATGTGCCTCTGTAGCTGGAGGGGAAGCTGCAGGATAGCCTCAATGACATGCACGGAATGTACACCCAAGACTCGAAAGCCGATAAAAAGGAACAGTAAGCGTTCTTGTTTTAGCAAACTCGTTTATGGAATTTCAAGGACCACTTTGATATATTTTGAACCCAGAGCCAAGACCTGAACCCTTTCTACGTGCAAAAACAGCGTATTGGTGAACGAATACAACCTAGTATGCACCTCGTCCAGCGCTTTTGCTCTTTTGAGCTGCAAAGCGAAGCAAAAAGTCATCCTGCACTAACACTGCCCAACTGTAATGGCAGGCAATGGTGGTTCCAAAAAGACAAGGTATACAAGTAAAGAAAAGCATGCAAATACCATGGTGTTTTAGCACTATGGTAAAATGAGTAAAATGAGATCGTAAACAATCCCCTCACCCTCAAAACCCTACCCGTACAGCATTGCCGAGTGCAAGCTCTACAAACTGCCGATGTCGTAAGGCAGGCAAAATATCAATTGGATTCAACCGATCTAGCTTATGAATCTGATGAAACTACAGAGCTTGTTCCACGTCGTGTGAACATTTCAATCGGTCATGAGTCCTCATCACTTTCACTGTTGCTCTCATTTGATGAGTTGTCCTCCTCAGTCTTTGCCTCTCAGGTGAACCAGAAGTGGTAAAAGGCACCAAAACCATCCAAGAACACCTTTACGACTCCGAGGATATCTCAAACTTTTATTAGTGTGGCAGCATCCTACTTTGATTTGAGTTCCGCTGATTCTGCTTCGCGGCTCCTCAGGTGTTGGTTCTTTTCGCCCTTCTGAAGCCTTCTCAACAGGTTTGAACTGTTCCGCATGACCTGGTAGAGCAAACGGATGTTTGTGCGATATAATTGCGATATGATACTAGGATATACTAGGTAGAAATATAGAGCTCCAGAATGCTTCAAACACGTACCTAGACTGTCTTCACTTTCCTCTGATCGATCCTCGTTCTTTGCTTCTTCCTTGGTTTCCCGATTCAAGCCGGTCGGACATAGATCAGTTTCAGCATGGCTGTAATGTATCAATTGCAGTGCCTCCATCTCTTCGTCTAACTCCTTCCGAAACTTGGCAACAACCTGTGAAACGTAGAATCGTCGCATAATCAATAATCAAGCACAAACGTATATCGAACAGCATGGAACCATGCGGAAACAATGAAGAAACACCAATGACAGTATTCTTGGCTCATCTTGGCCCTCTGCCTGTAAATGCTTCTTGCTTTTCGCGTGTTGGTCAAAGGCCTGAAAGGGGCTGGGCTGACAGAAGGGAAGGCACCAAAAAGACTTGGGCAATGCGGCAATTCTGAAACAACAAAACGCCTTACTCAATTCAATTCTGCTGGGTGTTTGCACCTTCTCGGATTTGAACGTCTTGCGACAAGGTTCACAACAGTATTCCACCTTGGGATACGCATTGCTCTGCACTGCTCCATGGGATAAAAACTTGCTCAACTGTCGAGAACCGTCCGTGCCTGCTCCTCCTGGAAAGCTCTGGTGAGACCAAAGGTGCAACAAAATGCAGCAATGATCCATCAGAAGCATCGGCTTGCAGCGGCTTGCATATCATATACTGGATGCGTCTCAAAGTACATAAAAATACAGAGGCACCCACGGCCACTGCTAGGACAAGTCTTGCGTCGGTGTCTCTGTCCTCACTGTCATCTTCTTCCTGGTGTGGTGCCGACACACAAGTGAGTATGTGCCTGTACTGTTCTTTGTCTTCCTGATGAACGAATCCAAAGCATCTTAACAAAGTGATCCTCACTCACAACTTCCCCACGAGCTCTTTGCTCCTGGAAAACTGGCAAGCAAGCGGTTTGTCATTGGTGTGTTGGATGTGCTCCCGTGCCTCCTTTCGTGCTTTCGTTTCTGCCCATCTTTCCTCGAGACAGGCGGGGTACGAGAGCACAAAACCATGCAAACCGTTCTGTTGCCAAGTGCTTTGATGTGTTTGATGAGCTTTGTGTTCTTCACATGCATGAGGTCCTGCAACCCCTTCAACTTGCAGGCTAAGACAAGTATTGGCAAGAAATCTTATTGTTCTCAGTCTAAAGTCCAAAGTCTGTCTCTGCTGGCAGTGAGCCTCTTCGGCTTGCCTGGCAGCAACTTTGCGCTCTTCCCTCTCCTTCACCTTTTCACAAGTGCGGAGATGAGAACAAGAGGAAGGTACGAGAGCAAGGAGAAGCGTGTTCAGTGCCGAAATGGAGTCGTGGGCAATCTAGCAATCAGTATGTCAGTCAATATCAGTAAGTTGTCATTGTAGTGTACTCTGGGAGAACGTCGTGCAGTTTCTTCTGTGAGGCCAGTCGAGATAAAGCCGAGGCGGTCTCTGATATTGTTTGAACCCTTTGATTGCATTATATTTTTCTGGATCTGCTGGCCACTTCCACTTCATCTGCCTATGCATGGTAGACTTAATGGTAGATTTCTGTCGGAAAGAACCATGCAACTAGAATAAATGAATTAACCCAGCTGACAACCCCAATAGCAAAGCATCCACCAAGATTTAACACCTTTTTCTGCGTGCGCTGTTCGTTACGTTGTTCTTTCACACATCAAATTTCGAGGACATTTCTTTAAACACACAAAAAACGAAATGAGATCCTATAGTTTGTACACACAAATACGCAAATAACTAAATATCCAAGTTAGTATGTTCCATAGACCACGAAGGACTTAAGAAATGTTCGCCGATGGCTGAATTGTATGTTCAAGTGCTCAAGTCTTTGTTCATGGTGTATAGTTGTGAAGAACCATTTATCATTCTACACGGTAAAAACAAAAACCGCACCAAGGAGAGGTGGGTGCATGCAAATACTGTATACAAACATTTCTCACATATGCGTGCAAGTTCGATTCGCACAAGGAATGTGAGGTATAAAAGCTTTTCAGGGGACAACAAGATAGTATTATCACTAAAACATACAAAGAGTGCAATTGCAGACGAACGTAATTATAGTTACGCTTGTACACGAAAGGTACAACGAACGCAGTTTTCAGAGAGACCATAAAATAAGTTCTGGCACCAGAGAAGAAACAAATTTGAATGAAGCGCCCACGGGCAATGTGCACCAGGTGCATGGACACGCAAGCGCAAAGTTCACACACGTGCAAAGACTGAGACCGAAAAGCGAGACACCGCCAAATATCAGCGAACCACCGTGAAAACAGAACCAATACGCCACCAAAACAGCAAAACAGAAAAAACATTGCGAAAACATAGCCGGCGCACTACATGAGCAAAGCGCCGCCGAAACATTACCGAGACACCAAAACATGACTGAGACACCGCAGAAACATGACCGAGACACCACGTAGACATGACCAAGACACCACCAATTTTTTTTCCAAATACCACCTCAACATGACCGAGACACCATGTAACGTGACCGAGACATCACCTAAACATGACGGAGACACCACCTAAGCATGATTAAGCATGAGCGAGATACCAAAACATGACCCAGACAACACCTAAACATCACAGAGGCACCACAGAAACATGACCACCTATACAAAAACGAGATACCAGAGAGACATGAACGAGATACCACCTGACCGGCACGCCACCAAAACATACCGACACAACACCTAAACACGACCGAGACACCGGGACACCACCGCCCAGGCTGGGGGCCGTGGATCCGACGGCGCCCAGCCGCCTAAAGAGTGTACAACCCCAAGCTATCGCTATTGGGGAATCAATACATAATGGCTCATAATGGCTTAACTAGTAAAGAATGCAGTGTGGCATTGTGCTACCTATGTGGACATATTATGACATCGGCGTTCACACCAGCTGTACCCAGAGGCGTGCATTAAAGTCTAGTTAGGTTTGTTTGTTGTTGTATTAAAAGCTTTGTATAAAAGCTCTCACTTTAGGTCTTTAAGAGCATTCCTCTAATCACGTGCATGGCAAGCTTTATTGCATAAAACCTTTGTTTCACAAGCTTTCCAGAGCTTTCCTGAAGCGCAAGAAGAGCACAGCGACAGCGTTTCGGACATGTCCGCGCCTTTGAGCCCAATTTAAACATGAAAACACAGTGTTTCAAGTGAACCGCCAAAGAATTAAAGAACATCATGTGACCTGCAACAGTGATTTTTGGTGGAACCATAACAACAAAAAGAATAAAAAGGATGGAACGCACAAAAGAGGGAAAAAGAGATACAGAGAGAAAAGAGATGAAAAAGAACAAGAATAAAAGAACAGGGAAGAGGAGAAGAAGAGAAGAGGAAGAGGGGATACAGGGAGAAGAGGACAGGAAGAGGAGCAGGATATGAAGGCGAAGAGAGGGATGAGGAGAGAGAGGACGGAGAAGAGGGAGAGGCAGAAGAGCAGGAGGAGGAGGGAGGAGTGAAAGGAGAAAGAGCAAAAGGGAGAGGGGGAGTGGGAAGGAGGAGGAGGAGAGAGAGAAGGAGGGAGGAGGGGTGAGAAGAGTACAGTTTGTCCTGAAAAATTAGTCTGCTCATCTTGCCCACGCTGTCCTGATCAGCTTTTTGCTTTTCCTTTTGCGCTCGATCCCTCTGGTTCTTCTCGATATTTTCCTGGTGCTCTGAACCACGCCAAACCAACAAGTGAAACAAGTGGCCTCGCACCCGTGGAAGATTGTGATGCTGTGGGTCCTTCATCTGCTGCTTCTGGCGTGCGAGAACTCGAGGGTCCCGCTTTTGAACAAACCTTGGACTGCACTAAGGTGTGACAACCCTCACCACCTGTAGAGTAGAAACATTTTCTGCTGGCCATGTGAGCGATGTTCACTCCCTACTGCACATGGTATAGCCCGGCGACTTGACAAGTTGGCGGACTTCTGCATTGAATTCCTTTTTTGCAGCCTTCCGTTTCAAATCGTGCGAATGTCTTGCAGTGCAAATGCAGTATGTAACTTGCCTGTCTGGCTTTTTTATTTTCCTGAAAATTACACACATATTGAGACTGCAAGTGTTCTGAGCAAACCAAGTGAGTGCAAAGCAAATGCCACACACTACCTGGCTATGATTTTCTCCTGCTCCATGGCTCTTCGAACTTGACGATTCTGAGCCTCCTTCGGATTCCACCTGAGCAAGCTTGCACTTCGTATTGCAGGTTGACTTGCTGACTTGCTGGTTGCTGAACAAAACAACCTCCGGGCTTCAAATGCAGCACTAATAAAATCTCATACAGTAAATTTATTGTCAGGTCTGGGCTGATCCGCATGCCCAAATGCCTTGTCATCTGAGTCATGTGGCGAATCACTGAACATATGGAATGGTTGGAACGCGGTGATTCATCGCACCTTTCTGGAGCAGAACTCAAGCCAATGCCTGCTTACTTTACAAATGGAGTTATATAAGTGAAAAAACGGAATCCAAATAACCTAATTTGCAATGGTCGCCGCACCTGTAGAAGGCTGACACGTCTGCCCAATCTGCATCTGGTCCCCCAAACGGTGGCATTGCAACATGATCTTCATCAGCATCCTGGCATCACCAACCAACATGAACAGGCACGCGCAATTAACATTCGAACCCTGAACCCTTCAGATCTGTTCAAGAGGCGCGCTTCAAAACTATTCTAGCCGCTAGCCCCCTACCTCCCACTGCTCTTCTTCAGCATCAATTGCCTCGCAAAAGCAGTAAGCATGATGCCATGATGCTATTATGTGCCAGTTGCATGTTCAGCTATCAACGACCCTCTTTAAAGAAACAGCAAACTTCTTTGAACTTCCTGGAAAGGGGACGCAGTCGGTTCTTCACCTCAAAGAGCTCACGGTAAACCGCAAAGAACCCGGAAGGATCATCTCCAAATCCATCGAAGCAGGATACACCTTAGCTGAAGATCTATAATATTACTATTTTTAGTTGTATGCATGCGTTCCCCCACAATCCTTCATGAGCACAAAAGGATAAAACGCTGCAAGTCCGTAAGTTACAGCTTTTTCCAGCGCCAGCACAAAATCATCCAAAAAGCACTCTTATCTGCATCCGCCACTATTGACCCAAAACACTGCAAAAACACAGCGTTTTCCACTTTTGCACACAAAAACCTATTTACACGGTTGCTTGCACAAAAACTAAACAACGCGATTTCCACGGCGTCACGTGCCAGCACTGTCGCATCTCATAAAGACACTACCAAAAATCCCTTCAGAAGGCTTCTTTCTTGCTCCCAAAAGCACCCAACTGGCCACCCCTTTTCTTCATTATCCCCAGCCCAACCGGGCCCATTTCGGACCCCCAAATCCGGTAGAATAGCTCCGCTCTGCAGACCTTCCAGCCCAAGCCCTTCGGCTGGCTTTTGTAATATACACACAACATCACACAACGATTCACTACACCTCCACATCAACGGTACACTTCACGTAAAGACTCGGTCTCCGACTAAAGTACTTGTAGAGGTTGATTTTAGTTTTGAAAGGGTCCTGACTCACATTGCCAGAATGCCTAAGGATCCCAAAGATAACACTAGCAGAGTCTTGTATAGTCGGATTGTTTGGCTCCTCGCCGGGCCCATCATCACCTCTTAGTATTTGCTCTCGATGAGCATCATACCAAGCTCTTTCCTTCAAGTGCGGGGAAACATCACAGAAATGGATCTGTTGCAAAATGGAATATCCAATGCTGCAAAAGTGATTGCGAAGGTCCTGCACATCCGAAAGAACCTCAGCATCAGCAGGTGGAATATATGCTGTCTCAGTGGTTTGCAAAGGTGACAAAGTCGCCTCTGAGGAACTTGCAGAATAGGCCTCCTGGATCTGCTGGAATCGCTTGGTGGCTTCCTCTGGACCTTCAGTGAGTCCAATCGTGTTCTTGTTTCTATAAAGTCCTTGTGACAAGGGCCCGAGCATCATGAACAAGGGCAGAATTTCTTTGTACATAATATATATATATATACAGTACAGTATATATGCTATGCTTGGCGGCGTTGTGGAACACTGATTTCTGTACGAAGAAGATTGCGGCTTTCAAATATACCGATTTGGTTTTAATATGTTTTCAGTCCACTTTCTGACAAGTTGAATCTGCAAAATGTTGACACGTGGACTGATGGTTCAGTCACACTGAACGGTTCTGGCTGGCGACTGCCACGCAGGCCACACTTGATGGAAATCCAGCGGTTGTCAGGAAGGGACCATTGGGCAGTTTTCCAAGAGTGCACAAATGCTGACACCTGCATTGGGATTTTTGTGAATGCGGCAAATTGCCTACGTTTGAAGCTGCTAACCGCTTTCCAACTAGAGAATTTGAGATGTCTCGGCTGTCGCATTGCTTAGAACACTTGCCTGAAGCTTTTTCAATTTATTTCGCATGAGCTTGCCGCACACTATGGCACTTCAGAACAGCACATCATGAATAATGGCTTGGTTGATGCAGCTGCCAAATTTGATTTTGCCTCAGGCTCGGATGCAGAAGCAGGCTGATAAAGGTTCTTGAGCAGATGACTTGTCCTGCATCATCTCGTGTCTATTAAACAGAGTCCACTCAGTATGTCACAGTTATACTGTATACGACTGAAGTATGATGCGCCTCAATCAACTTCCTCTTGTGAGCTAACGGTCCCGTCCACATTTCAGGGCGTGTCATTTGAATGTGATCCACAACAAGCCAACAACAACGACTTGTACATACTGAATGTGTGAGGCGATTCTTGAGCAAGAATACCTGTGCTGATCCATGTCCTTAGACCTTCAGCCCTTCATTTTATCCTTACGAAAATCATCCAAAATTCAATGGACGAGTCCCACCACAGAGGTTCATAGTTGGTGCAGGAATGAGTGCTTGATCCTGGTTTCCAAGCTTCCTCTCGGTGCGGGCCACAAGCGGACTCATGGAAGATCCACTCACTGGTGGTGTCAGTCCCTCTTTTCTCGTTTGTTTGCCGGGGTATCACGGGGTCACAACGCCGGTCATAGTTTGTGAAGTCTGACGAGCCAGGTAGCAGGGTGTAGCAGGGGGCAGTCAGGGGTCGTGACGTACATTTGTGAAAGGTGAGCCCAAGAGTCCGGCGTCCTTGTTCCTAGTAGTTTCTTGTGGGCTCGGATTTAATTTAGGTTTTTTTTTGTTGTGTTTTGGGATCTTTTTTTGTTTTTCGTGTTTCGTGGCAGGGGCAGTACTTTGTGGACCTTGAAATGCTACTTTGTGGACCTTGAAATGCACATTTCGTGGCAGGCGCAGGAAATTGTCGATGTTGAAGTGCGGATTTCGTGGCAGGCGCAGGACTTTGTGGATGTTGAAGTGCAGATTTGGTGGCAGGTGCAGGACTTTGTGGGACTTGGAGTGCAGATTTCGTGGCAGGCGCAGGACTTTGTAGACCTTGAAATGCAGATTTCGTGGCAGGTGCAGTGCTTTGCGGGCCTTGAAGTGCCGATTTCGATTTCGTGGCAGGTGAAGGACTTTGTGGATGTTGAAGTGCAGATAGATAGATAGATAGGAAAGAAAGAAAGATAGAAAGAAAGATAGAAAGATAGATAGATCGAGAGATAGATAAATAGATATAGACAGACAAATGGATAGGTAGACAGATTTGCATTGGAATAGTGTAGGTGTCAGACTATCACAACAGTTTGGTGCAGTTAGCAGAAAAGCAAAGAGAAAGGTTTCGTGGCAGGCGCGGGTGGCGGAGATGAAGTGCAGATTTCGTGGCGCGGGGGGGGTTGGGGGGGGCGCAGCGCCCCCCCCAGCAGCACACCAGATCCAAAGGTGAGCAGCTCTTGTTTGCTTGCTTGCTTGCTGTCTTGCTTGCTTGCTTGCTTCCTTGTTTGGGTTCTTCTCTGCAAAGCGAATAAAAGGAAAAGCACAACACAACAGACTGATAGACAGACAGACAGACAGACAGACAGATAGATATAGACGGATAGATAGATATAGACAAATAGATGGATAGGTAGACAGATATATCGACAAATGGAGAATAGTGCGGAAAGAAGCTACGTTGAAAGCTGGGCGAGGTTGAAGTGGCCGTCAGCATCCACCATTGTGGTTTTTGCAGGTCGTCATGTGCCATTAGACACCTTCATAGTGAAAACCTTAATTAAAGACATGTTGTGTTTTGCGTGTCATAACAAAGGACAAAGGAATCGTTTGGATGAAAACATCTGGTAGCTGCGCCTCGGACATCACATTCCTCCAAAGATGGACTAGTAGCAAACAGCCACAAAAGCCAAAAGCCACAAAAGCCACAGAAGCCACGAAAGCCAAAAGCCACAAAAGCCACAGAAGCCACGAAAGCCACAAAAGCCACAGAAGCCACAGAAGCCACGAAAGCCACGAAAGCCACGAAGCCACAGAAGCCACGAAAGCCACAAAAGCCAAAAGCCACAGAAGCCACGAAAGCCACGAAGCCACAGAAGCCACAGAAGCCACGAAAGCCACAGAAGCCAC